AACCCATAACATATTTACAAACAATTTCATAGCTGTAATCAAATCTTAGATAATGAAAGAAAACGAAAGGATGCTAAATCAAATTTTGCAACTCATCCCTTAACAACCAAATGCACACAGCTAGAGATTCAAAATGTTTCCATGGCATTTAAATCTGTAAGTTAATTGAGCAGGTAAGCAGCCATATAAATATTCACGAGGCATCTGATTTATTCGCATATCAGTTCTTGTATTTAATTTTGCGTATCGCTGTGAGAGACTTGAATGGTGCACCTTTTGCTCAGTCCCCCCAAATAAGATCAGTGAGTGACTCCAAAAAAAAATGAGGCTCTGGATATGAGAAGCGAGAAATATCTCCATTGCTCACATCAGCAGCTTTACAAATGGGTGAGAGAGTAAATGAAATCATCAAGGAGCAGTGTTTCCAGTGTTACCTCTGTTCTTCTTTACAGGCTATTTACGGTGACACATAAAATACATTTAAATGCATTTTTCTGGCTTTTTTTTCCCGGGCAGAATATCATAATTCCTGTCTTGATCTTAAAGAAAGAAGAACAGTTAAAGAAATACATTGCACATAATATTTCAGAGACAGCAACAGATGCTTTAGGGCAAAAATGCTTTTTCTTTTTGTGTGCTTATTCCTCTGTAAACAAAATGCATTTTAGCTACATTTTAACTGTAATATATTCTATCTATAATGTAATTTATTCTATTAATATACAGTAGCCACAAACTGATTTGAACCCCTTAACCGTATTAAAATATGTATATTTTAAACCATGAAAAAATGTAAATATAATTTTTATGCAACAGTTCAATAAACAGGAAGTTAATACAGAGTAAATTGTTTTACACTCACTATAATATTTTGTCTGTTTTTGCTCTGTCAACAGATTCAAAAAAGAATCAACCATTTTGTCTCCTAGCAACCCACAGTATGTCGTTTGGTTCTGGCTGAAGTGGTGTTTGGGTGAATCAGTTGAACATGTTCAGTCAGCAAAAACAAGCACAGACCAGTGCCAAGAGACGCCGACTGGGTTACCACACTAATCTGACAAAACCTGACGAACATGTCTTTGTCTGCATTTGGCAGTGCAGTGTGAAGTTATGTGTTATTTCTGAATGAGTGTTTTCGAGTGAATGATTCAATGACTCACTCATAAAGAGAATCACTTGTTTGTTAAAAATGTAACCTGCGAAAAGAGAAAACAATCCTGATAGGATGGGTAGAATGTCTTATTGACCATATTTGCCCATTCTTCTTGTCATCTTTTGCCCACGTTTTGTCTCTTGAAATACAGTTGTGTAACCCAAAAGATAAGATTTCTAATGTTGACGTTCCTTCACTTCTGTTTACACAGGTAGTTTCTTGGACATCTGTCCTGCAACGAGCCTAATCACCAAAAATAATGTTTTAAAATTCTGTAGGATAACAGTTTAATGCAAAATGTCCAATGTCTGAGTGAATGGTTTTATAATAACTTGCCACATTTATACAATTCAGAAATATGCAATAGATAAAAACTTAGTAATAAAAATATACATTTTCATTTTTGGTATGGTTTGAATTTTGCCATATAGAAGTACTAAATCTGTCATTGCTTGTTATAAATGTTCAGAAAGCATGGAAGAACACTAAGTGGGCAAAATCAGTATGCTTCTGATAGCTTGAGAGCTTGAGATTTGAACGATATGATGGATGTTGCCAGGGAGGAAATGACTTGCAGCTGTTTTACTCTAGATATACTGCACCTGTCTTAGTTTTGAAGCATGATTAGCACTAATAGTGAGATCAAACTGAAAGTGGCCCACTATTCATCTGAACACACAAAATATGATGTACTGTAAATATGTATATGATTACTAGATATACACACAAATACTTAGATTTACTGAAGTACTGATATTGCACAAAGATTTTGCACAGCACAAAGAGATGGACTTCGTTACAGTTAACAAGATTGTCGTTCACATTGCATATTACTTCCACATTGTGTGCAACATTTACAAGCATAAAGACAATAAACACATTCTGAAAGGGTTACAATACATGAAATTCTGAAATTAAAGCATTATAATATTATTTTATTATTTATTATCATTATTTATATTGATAAAGTGTATAATAATAAAGGTGCTTCAAAGGGTTCTTCACAGCGATGCCATAGAAGAACCATTTTTGGTTCCACAAAGAACCATTCAGTCAAAGGTTCTTTAAAGAACCATCTCTTTCTTACCTTTTTATAATCTGAAGAACCTTCTTTCGCCACAAAGAACCTTTTGTGAAACAGAAAGGTTCTTCAGATGTTAAAGGTTCTTTATGGAACCATTTAGACAAAAAGGTTCTTCTATGGCATCGTGAAGCACCTTTATTTTTAAGAGTGTAGTTTGATTGTTTTGTACTTTGCAGTGGATTATTTTTAAGATAGAATACTGGTACAATTTTAAAATAAATTCAACTCAAATCAGTAATTCATTTCCACATTTTTATTGTTTAGTGGGGGAAATAAAAATCTAAAGAAGAGCACCCAGGAGCAGTTCTTGAGTTTCAAATGATAGTGCCTGTGTAAAGCTGTTTTCTCATATCATTGTTTTTTTGTCATCTTCAGTGGAGGCGATGACAGAGTGTTTGTAAACCAGACACTGTTTTCTGGTGCTGCATGAGAAAATGAGATCTCCATCTAGTAGCAACTCTACCTTGAATATGAGCTTCTAGCGCTGGAGGTCACTGAACTCTTCTGAGTCATGCATTTGCATAGTAATGAAATACTAACAGGCCTTTTTCATTTCATTTTACTTTAGCCCGCTGTTGATCAGACAGAGGGGACAATACCTTATCCATCAATGCTCTCAATGCTACTTAACCACTGCTGTGTGATAGATGCTCAGTTGTTGAGCTCCTTTTGTGCTTAAGTAAAGATCATGTTCCATGAAGATATTTTGTAAATTTCCTACTGTAAATATATCAGAACTAATTTTAAATGAAAATTCCTGTTAATGCATGTATAATAGTCTCAAGTTCTCCATCATTCTCTGATTGTTAGGATAGGACAATATTTGGCCGAGGTACAACTATTTGAAAATCTGGAATCTGATGGTGCAAAAAAATCTAAATATTGAGAAAATCGCCTTTAAAGTTGTCCAAATGAAGTCCTTAGCAATGCATATTACTAATCAAAAATTAAGTTTTAATATATTTACAGTAGGGAATTTACTAAATATCTTCATGGAACATAATCTTTACTTAATGTCCTGATTTTTGGCATAAAAGGAAAATCAATAATTTTGATACAATGTATTTTTGGCTGTTGCTACAAATATACCCCAGCGACTTAAGACTGGTTTTGTGCTCCAGGGTCACGTATTGTTGAGAATATTGTTGAGAAAACGTGATTAAAATGTGTATTTGATGTGATTTTATTTTACAGATGCTACTTTAACTGTATTTATATCAGCCTTTACATTCCAATATAATGTAATATAATATAATATCATAATACTTGGAAAATTCCATATATACTAGAAAAATTGACACTTGGTAAAATTATGTTCTTAAATTATAAAATGACTGAAATTTATGAAAACTTCATTAAACGGTATATGTAAAGTTACAAAGGAACTGCAATTTTCTCTGGCAGTGTTAATAATGTTATTAATGTGACTATGTACAGATAACAAAATAATAACTGATTTAAAAAAAATATCTGATTGATTCAATAACTGATTAAAAAATAATCAAATCAAATAAAAAACACCATATTTTCACTTATTTCTATGATAAAATAAACAGTTTCCATCTTTATAATATCGAAATAAAAGATGTAAAGTAGTGCATAGTAGGAATGACCCAAGGAAAACACTTAAATTTAGCATCATCATCTCCAAGGACAATTACCTGTGGCAGTAAAGAAAGAGTCAAGTCAAGTCACCTATATAGTGCTTTATAAAATACAGATTGTGTCAAAGCAGCTTTACAGTGTCAAACAGAAATAGTTTGTCAATAATGCAAAAAATCTATCAGTTTTTCAGTCAGTTCATTGATGATTCTGTGATGTCATCATCAGTTCTGCTCTCTTCCAATAGTGTCTGTGCAATCAAGCCGACAATATTGCCAGAAATTAAGCATCCCCAACTAAGAAAGCCAAAGGCAACAGTGGTGAGGAACCAAAACTCCATCGGTGACAGAAATGGAGAAGAGAAACCAGGCTCAGTCGGGGGGCCAGTTCTCCTCTGGCCAGACGAAACCAGCATGGTGTGGTTTAATTCCAGTCCAGGCTGCAACACAGTTCAGATTGTGTTGTACAAAGATTGTCTGGTTCCTGTGGTCTTTTCCTGATGGCCATCTAGTTGATGCAGGTTTCGCAGGGGATCTGGCTCATCTAGTTGACATGGTCTCTGCTGACATTCAGGGCTGTATCGCAGTGGTTGTGAAGGACTATAATGCGATATGAGCTTGCTCAAGTACTGAGGAGCTAAACCAGCGGTGGCGAACTCCGGTCCTGGAGAGCCGCAGCCCTGCAGAGTACAGCTCCAACCCTAATTAAAACTCACCTGCCTGTAGCTTTCTAGTAACCCTTCAGACCTTGATTAGCTTGTTCAGGTGTGTTTGATTAGGGTTGAAGCAAAACTCTGCAGGGCTGCGGCTCTCCAGGACTGACGTTCGCCACCCCTGAGCTAAACCATTCAGGGCTTTATAAGTAATTAGCAAGATTTTTACATTTATACAATGTTCAATAGGGAGCCAGTGCAGAGTTAACAGAACCGGGCTAATATAGTCGTACTTCCTGGTTCTAGTAAGAACTACAGCTGCTGCATTTTGGACCAGCTGGAGTTTGTTTATTAAGGGCGTAGAGCAGGGGTGCCCAAACTCGGTCCTGGAGGGCTGGTGTCCTGCAGAGTTTAGCTCCAACCCTAATCAAACACACCTGAACCAGCTAATCAAGCTCTAGGCATGCTAGAAACTTCCCGGCAGGTGTGTTGAGGCAAGTTGGAGCTAAACTCTGCAGGACACCGGCCCTCCAGGACCAAGTTTGGGCACCCCTGGCGTAGAGCAACCACCCAATTCAACCAACCTGGCTGGGACATGATTATCAATGTCTACTCTGAAAGGTGAGATTTTTGTTTATTTAACACCCTGATGATATGATTCCTTAGCTTTTTTGGATATTATTAGCCTACATAAGCTGACGAAATAAGCTACTGTAATTGTGAAACGTTTTGTAAGCTGGCTACCTTAATACAACTTCCCTTACGAAAATTAACCATGGTTTAACTATTTAAAAAAAATTGTTACTATAGTTAAAACACGTTACTACACTTTTACTATAATAAAACCATGGTTAATTTTTGTAAGGGTTGTTGGTGTCCCCTTGAAACATTTCCCTTACGAAATTACAAACATTAACTGGTTTTATGATAGTAAAAGTGTAGTAACCACGTTTTTTTGCGTATTGACCAGTATAACCACAAATATGGTTAGTGTAGCAAAACCATGGTTCATTTGTGGTTACCGGTTTAACTATAGCATATAACCATGTTTTTTTGGTTTTATTTTCATAACGGTTCCGTTGTGGTCTGGGGCCGTTTCAGTAAGGAGGTTCAACCAACTCTAAGTTGAAACTTGAACTCTGAGTTGATTTACCCTGAGATGGGAAACTCAAGCTGAATTGAGTTTGTTCAATCCACTAGCTCGTGCACCACGACAATGAAAAGCCATGATCAATGGAGCTCCGAAATGATGATTCACCATGCAGCACCCGACAAAAAGACGTCCACATACTTCAATACGTAATTTAAATTCTTAATCACTGTTATAATATCAAAGGTAAAAAGTGTCAAAATGGTAAATTATTGAACTAATATTAATTTTCATGGTATTCCACAGGCAAAAGAGAAAAAAAACAACAACAACAAAAAAAGCAGCTAAACATGAAGGAAAAACATAATTCAATCAGGTAAAGCTTTAAGGTTCATGAGTGTAGGCTACATGACTTTACAAACTTTTGACATATGAAATAAATATAATTTGGTGTCTATTTCAATGTGCAGCTGCTTTTTCCACATAGTCTAATGCTCTTTTCACATTATTAAATGTTCTCTAATCCAAACTGATGCATTTCTTAATTAGAGTAATGAAATGAACATCTACTCAGCCAACAGCAAGAAGGCTCACAAAATAATGAAGAACAGATGAAGAGGAGATGGCCACAATACCAAGTATTATAAGAATATTAAAATTCAACAGGAAAAAGAATAACTGTTACTTTTGCATTTGTAGGAAATAAAGATGACCAAATAAATGTAACAGCTGTGGTGGTGGGTACGGCATATTTCTTGAACTACCCTTCCGTCTGGTATCCTTTCATTCCATACAGTTGTCAGCTTCATTTTCGGTGGGTTTGTGATCCGGAAACTACAAAAAAATTCTCATTGAGAGCGAGGCACATTTTCCTTACCGCTCTGCATACAGCGGCCTTACTAATGTGCTCTGCATCCCCGGTGTTATACAGAAAACTACCATTTAAAAATGGTACCACTCAAATACAGTGGGAAAAAAAAGTATTTAGTCCGCCACCAATTGTGCAAGTTCTCCCACTTAAAAAGATGAGAGAGGCCTGCAATTTTCATCATAGGTATACCTCAACTATGAGAGACAAAATGCGAAAAAAAAATCCAGAACATGTGGATATGGCAAAAAATTATGGTGAGAATTAAGTTATATTTTAGCAGTTTAAACCACAGAGAGTGATAGTAAGATTCCTACATACAAACAAAGGTACACGGAGCTACAATCGCAAACCTCTCAGCAACACGGCAGACGGGAACCGGGCCCATATGATGTGTATTATGTTTAGTGTCAGGAAGTAATTTAGTTACTTGTTTCCTCATATGGTGAGTCATATTAAGCAGATAGAAAATGAATAAACCATTGCAGTAGTTTAGTATTTTTTTTTAAATCTTTTTTTGCATGAACAAACAAGCAAATAGCTGTTTTAGCTTGCACTGATTAAGGCAAAGTCGGCACCCATGAATCTTTGATTGCTTATCCATCCATGTGAAAAAGAACATGAATGTATTACAATTACTGGTTATTCATCCAATTATCCACATTTTACTCAGTTCTGTCAAATCCAGGGGAGTGAAAATATACTTCAAGTCCATGATTCAACAGTTCAGAGAAAGAATATAAAAAGATTTGGAGTTCAGCTCTTTATGCAGTTTCAACTATTGTTAAAATAAAACCTGTGTAGACAGCTATATAATCACAATGTTGACACTAGCAATCTAGCACAGCTTATGCTGCAAAATACCTGGTATTAGTATGTGTAGGACAAGCTCCAGATGCATGTTGCAGCAGATCGAGATGGTGGTGAAGAGAGGGCGCACTTTAGATGGACCATAATTGATGCCCTTTGCTGGTGAGCATCTTTGTTGAGAGGCTTGTTCTTCACTTTGTCAGATGCCAATTTACTTTTCATCTTTTAAACTCGCCAGGCTCTACAAAAAGCCCACAAGGACCTCCTCTGTTTTCTTGTAATTAGCCTTGAATAAATTTTTCTCTGCACTCAATATTCAGCCCACACTCCCTTTGAATATTCATCCATAAACGTGGCATTCTGATGAGACGTTCGGTTCGCATTTCTTCTGAAGCGTACTTGATATACACAGGAGATTTTAGATGGGTGATTATTTACTCACCCTCATGTCTTTTCAAACCTACATGAATTTTGTTCTTTTAGTGAAACATTGAAGATGTTCAGAAGGATGTTCACACTGCTCTTAGTGAATGGTGACCAGTTGTCAGGCTCCAAGAATGACTAAAAGCACCATGATAGATGGATGGACAGACTGACAATAGATGGATGGATGGATGGATGGATACAGACAGACAGACATAGATAGACGGACGATAGATAAAGAGAGAGAGTGGGACGGATAGATAGATGTGTTTTTTTATGGATGATCAAAGTTCACTGGGTTTGAAACAACAATGAGTGTGAGTAAACTATCCATTTTAAGGCAACTTTCACAAGTGAAAGAACACCGTGCTACTTGCTAGTTGGACAGCATGACTACACTGTAAAAAATTACAGTGAATTTAACGGTAAAAGACTGTAAAAATGCTACAGTAAAAACCTGTTAAATGGTTAACGGTAAATTCCCCTACTATATACGGTGAAAAACTGTATTGGACATTACATGTATTGGACATAAATCTTACGTTAGTATACCATTTTTGGAAGTGAAAAATACTGTATAATTTACAGTGAATAACCGTAAATTGACATTCCCAGAATTCCCTGCGTTACATTTCAAATTTGATGTTGAAATAATTATGTTTCTTAGTTTTTTTCTTATCAGTTTTATATATTAGGGTTGTGTGTTACACCTAATGTTGTTAAATGAATGTTTATTGCATTATTTCAGTTTCATGTGTGTTACCATGATAGTGTTTAGCGTTTGTGTGAATGACACTGTGCACCTTCTATATATATGTTATTATTTAAAAGTTGTTTGTGATGGGCTTTGGTTCATCATGTGACTTTCTCATCACCCCCTGCATTTGGTGGTTATCAGTGTATTACAAAGGTACAAAACAGATTTCAGTACTTCAATAGGTTGGTATATTAACATTATATCAGTTAATGAAATTACGGTATTTAACTGTAAATTTAAGTTAAAACCGTAAAACCTAAAACGTTGCTACCATATTTTTTTACAGTAAAATTCCGGCAACCACAGCTGCCTTTTTTTACCGTAAATTTTCCGGAATTTTTTTTACAGTGTAGAAATTCTGGACAAACAGTCAATGAAATGGAACAAAGAAGGACAAGAAGTCTGAAACATCCTTTATCATCATCTGACAAATCTGTTTCTATACCTTACAAGAGACATTATTTATCAAATCCCAGAGTTAATTTTTATAAGGTAAATATTTAATAGCTTTTAGAAAAGTCTAAAAGTGTGTAAATGCACCTTTTAGACTTGAATAGATCAAATGAATGTGTAATTAAGATTTCAAACGTCCAAATCCATTATTATTATTGTTGTTATTCATCCATTATTGTTATAATCCATTATTTATCTGACACAGAATCCACTAGAAAATAAAGGATTGTTGCAGTAACACTCAGGGTTTACCTCCTATACTGTAAACACAAATGAATCCATGCACTGTATTTTACTGCTGATTTTAGTGCAAAATTAATAAATGTATGTGGGCACAGTTAAATAGACTACTGAAAGGAAAACTAAAATAAAGCTCTAAAAGGTCTTCAGACACTAGAAAAACCATCAGTAGTCTAACACTTATGCTTCATCTGTTTTCTGATGCATAACAATATGAAAGCAGCCAAGTGACTAAAACAAACAAAAAAATGAACAGAAGGTGCAGCAGATGAAAGCACTTTCATAATACAGTAATAGAGAGTCCATGGCCTTTTATGCAGCCTGACAGTGTTTTGTGCATTTGCTTTTGAAGGTGGTGAGCAATAATGTCTGAACTCTGCAGTGTACAAAGCGCAAACCACACTCACATTCACTAGACTACTTATGCAATTCCATGCTCAATAAATCTAAGGTGAATTACAATATTATATGTATACACTAGTTTTTGGTTTAAGTTTAAGAAGGTAAATTACATTAATTAGAAATACTCTCTTCGATATTCGATACTCTAATCGAAATGGCTATGTGATTTATGTGAGCTCATGAAGTCTGGGGTATGATATGTGCTTTTAAATTGAACTGCTTGTTACAGTAATGTGCGCCATGATCATTTTAAATTCAGGATGTTTATTGGGTAATTTGTATTTGGCTCATTTACCATCTGCTGAACCAAAGCCAAATGAAGATACACCATCGATATGAAAAAAGGATCGAGTTTTCAATAAATTATATGAGATTAAATATACAAAAATCTCTATATATTTAAATATATTTTAAATACATTTAATGCAATCACATACTAGCAAGTGTGCAGCCTGATATTCGGGAAAAGTGTTAGCCATTTTATACTACATCTCAATACAGAAAAAAAATATTTTGAGCAAACTTACATTTTAGGCATTTTTGCCAATCATTTGAGTTATTTTTGTCTGTTTTTGCTCTACCAAATGCAAATAGTTCCACAGAGTCACCACAGAGCCTTGCAAGCAACACAACGGTGTTTCATTTCTGAAACAGTGTATTTGAATGAATCGTTTAAAGGGGTCATATGATGCTGCTAAAAAGAACATTATTTTTTTATTACGCGTTGCGTTGCATCGTGCCACGTAAACATAAAACCATGTCTGCATTTGTGATCTGAGAAATGACAAACAACAAGCGCTTCTCTACACTGCTCAAAACTCGCGTTTGAATCGTCAGTGGCAAATTCTTTAAATATAAAAAACGTATTTACAGTCTGTGAGTCAGAACAGCCGGCATTGTAGTCTACTCCACCAGGATCAGGAAACAGTCCTCCATAAAATGCGCTGGACACATCTGAATATTTGGGTTGAACTGTTCTGGAACAGTGTTGTAAATACAACTTAACCACTGATTTCTAGTCATGTCCTTTTTTGGAAGGCCAAACAAAGTTTCGCTTTCACAACGAAGCACACGGCGGACTAGAGTGAGCGGTGGCCGGCGGCGGTGGGCAGGCTTGAGTGAGCGGAGGCGGGCGGCCTTGAGAACGGCGCGGCCGGCGGATTCAACGAAAGACCGGCCGGTGGGCTTGCGGCAACCACATGTGACGACCCCGGGCTGGACTCCGCTTCGTCCACGGTGAAAGCCGATCCGGTGATCCACAGTGCAAAGTTGTTGTATTTCCTCAGCAACCAGCACGGATCAGCTCTAGGCGTGACGAAGCGGATATCGTCCTCTTTTGGAAGACCAAACAAAGTAGTTTCGCTTTCACAACGAAACACGCAGTGCCTT